TTGAGATCATTTGTGAGCAAGGAGAATCGAAGAGATGAAGTTAGTGTTTTCAAACTTAAATTACAAGCCATTTCATGATGAACAAAAATTCAAATCCAAGCCTATGATGCATAATCTTTGCTTTTCAGGCTTCAAACTTGTTTGTGACTCCATAATTAAATGTTTACACAGCTGTTAGAGCTTTAATCCAATCACTTAAGTCTTTATCCAAGTTACATTTCCATTTATGGCACAAAGTTGTCATTTCCATTTTGATAAAGCATCACTTTTGCAATTGTCAACTTCTTGAGCTTTGCACTTGTTCTTTCTGCACACACAATCCCTATAAACCAAAATTAATGTGTCTAAAGCCTCTTTGAACTCAGAACATGCTTATACAACATTTTGAGATTTGTCTTCTCACTTTTCTTCAAAAGCAAGTCATAGAGCCAAAAGGCTAGAACTCAGAAACCTTGAGTGCATTTGATATCTAACCTTTTCCATACATATACACAAGTCTATTGCAACATAAAACACGGATGCTAAGACCCCAAAACACTCCCAAGCACTCTGCAACTCAGAATCTTCTATAACTTGACAGTTTTGAACCTCACATAGCCATCTCCAAATCCACTCGTGCGTATTGAGTTTTAATCATCCAAACACTTAATATACATCATATCAAAGTGATCCAGACCCATGTTTCCTGACTGTAACTCCTCCATCACTATCCACCATTTCCAAATTTGAAGCTTGCAACTTGACTTGAGTTGGGAGTTTCATCCATCCTCAAAGCAAAGTAGGAATTGGAACACACTCAAGGAGGTCCAGGCAAGCTACATAAATCATCAGGCCATCACAAAGGTTGCTCAAACTTCATACACGACTCCAGATGCAAGAGGTAAGTTTTCAAACTTCTATCTCTTCATACAAGCATCACTTGATTCTGATTTGTGAAGATAAAATGTAGATACCATTGCCACGAAGCTGTGCATATCCATAGTTTGCATTTATATGGCCCGAGCTTAGAGAATTTTAGAGTTGAAGTTTCTAAAACTTTTAGGTTTTAAATTAGGGCCAGAAAAATTCTCATTCATCTTTGACTGTTAGCTTAAGTTATTTACATGGTTGGATTCATGATGAAATTCCCAACAATTTTCATGTTTGTACTTTTGAAAATGGTTGAGAAATGAGAGAGATAGTAATTTCAAAAATTGTGATGAATGGTCTGGCGCGAGGTTGAAGAAGATACTGGCCTAGGAATGTGTTTCAAATATATATTTATAGTTTTGTATTAATAAATGGATGTATAGCCACCCCAGTGGTAGAAGCGCACGCCTGTGACTATAGGGACCTGGGTTCGAGCCCCAGTGGTACCCTTTTATTTTTTCTTGTTTTATTTTCACAGATTCAATACAAACCAAGCCAACGCGTGCATCAAGTGTCCTCATCTCATCACCATCTGATCATTGCATGACTGGAACCAACGCACCACATGAGTAGGTCCATAGTACACCACAATAAGCCAGCAACATGAGATCAAAACAGGCGCTGGGCCCTTCAGTGTTGGGCCTCTTTTTTTATATTTTTGCTATCCTCATACACCCTTTTTTACTAAGACACCACCAAGCCTAATTTTCTTTTATTATTTTCTTTTTCTTATTTTTGTTTTTTTTATATTTTATTTCTTTTCTTCTTTAATATTTTTATTTATTATTATTGTTATTTTTTTATTAATGAAAAAATCCAAAAATATTTTTATTTATTATTTACACTTATATATTTTATTTTTCCTATAAAACAAAAAGACTAAAAATCATTTCTCTTAATAATTAATTTCTTTTTAATAATTAATATCTAGACATAGGTTTAATTATTTATTTTCTTAATTAAAATTAATTTAGAACTTAGGTTTATTTTAATTAATTAATTTTCATATTATTTTTATTAAGTTAAAACCTTTTCACAAAAAAACCTAAAACATATTTTTTAACTTAATTTCTTTCTTAATTAATTTAGGTTTAAATTTTGTTTATTTTTCATTAATCATCTTTCTTAATTAGTTTAAAACCCCTTTCATAAAAACAACAAAAATCATTACTTTTTCCATTTATATTCTTACATTTTGTTTTCAATTTTGTACAATATTCAATATGGTTGTAATAGATAATTAGGTTTAATTTTTTTTTTGCAATCCCTATTTGTAAATTTGTACACCCCTCCCCTAATGATGTAATAGCGTAGTAATTTTAAATTCCACAATTTATCGCTTTATATACAAATGCTAGTAATTAGGGTTTTGTATGGAAAGACTAAAACCAACAAAATAGAAAACCTTAATCAAGACAAAAATAAAGCATGAAAATCAATACACTTGCACACAAGCACCCCTAGGGTAAATCCTCTTGGTTGCCTTACAAAAATGACCATATTACGCATGTGAGGTATCTTAGCAAAGACAAGCAAAATACAAGATCATAGTTCCTCGATAACGCTATCAAAAGTTGTCTTTCAAAGTGATCTTAGTCTCTAAAGAAAAGTGCTAAGATACCTTGCAACATTGCTAATCATGGTTATACGATGACCCACGTCCGTCCCTTTTATATCCAAAGATAGGGTTACTTACCAAATCAATGGTAAGATAACAATGTCAAAGGAGAAAGGAAATGAACATGAAAGACTTTTTTGTGTAGGTAGATTGTTCCTAGTTACTTGCTCCATTTCAAAACAAAAACATCCTTGCTATTTTCAAAATAAACACCAACACTTTCAAAACATCTTTCAAAACTTGAAAACATTTTCAAAAGATCAAACACTTTGTATACATTCTTACGAACGAGAATTATTACAAAGTTTGCCTAAACAATGGCCTCTTTTCAAAAATACTTTCAAAAACAACACAAAGCACAATTTCAAACAAAAGCAAGTGATCTAGCAAGTAACTAAGAGCCCATGGAAAACCATGGATGAAAAGGATGCTAATACCTTTCCTTTTCATAATTTACCCCCCGAACTCAAGAAATAATCTCAAAGGTCTTTCCTGTGCTTTTTCACATTTCCTTTTGGATAAAATAAAAGTCGGTGGTGACTTTTGCTAACCGCAACATTTGCAATCAAACGCAAAATATCCAAGCCAGTTCTCCCACCGTATCACAATGTCTTAACATATATTTCAACATCATGTCTGGTGTGTGTTAAGAATTCTTTGGATTTCTCTTCTGGTGTGGGTTTTTCCTTAAGGGGGAGAACTTATTCTGTATAACAGGGGAAGTGTTAAACCTGTCTGTTTTTGTAGCTGCTGTAACTCTGATGTATATTTTTGTGATGCAATTTGTTTCTTTGGGGTCTTATTCCTTTATGGTTTTATTCATCTCTCCATTTTAATTGGTCTTTAGTTGTTTTAGCTAAAATTTATCAAAGGAGGAGATTGTTAGTACCATAGTTTTAGGATTGATATAATTTTGCTAAAACATGATTTGCAACATGATGTTATAGAAGATATTCTAACATGCTGATCAGGCTCAAATGAAGGCAAATGTTCTGACAGATGCTGTGACATCCTGTACCAAAACATCAGTACATGCTGTATTTATTCTTGACAAGATTTAAATTGATTTTGTGAGATTCCTTTTGGATTTATCTCACTGATTTTCACAGATCAAGAATATTTAATTTGGAATAGTTGATTTTATCTCTAGCTGTACACAAGTTACTAAATTGGGCTTTGAGACAATTTAGGAAACTTGATATTTTTATTCTAAGATTTAAGTAGATTTTTATGCACAATTGGTGCAACCCTCATCTTGAGCAACAAAGAATATCTGAATGAGGATTCAAGGCCCATGAATCACTGAGGAGTATTTAAAGAAATTATCTAGACCTAATTTCATTAAGAACTTTGTAAAAAGTAAGGGAAAGTCTATTTTTCTTAGTCTTAGGGTTTTAGGGTTCTTAAAGGGAGTTTATATTTTCCCTGTACGTCCTCATGTATCTTTTGATGCATTTGAGTTGACTGATTGTTACTTGATAGTTTGTCAAGTTATTGTTCTCACTCTAAAGCTTTTAAGCAATAGTTTGAGTATTGTATTTGAAGTGTAAACTTCTGTTTTAGTTTGGTTTCCAGTCACTGTGATTGTGGCTATAGATATCACTGCAGTGATTGGAAGTGAGAGGGAATTCTCATATCTAAAAGGTTCCTAGGTAGAAATTATATTGGATAGAGGTTAAGTGATAAGTTGTAAACTGAAATTTTTTAGGCTTAGAATTAATACTAGTAATAGTGAATTTTCTTCATAACTTAGTAGTCCTCGGATATAGGTGAGTTGCATCGAACTGAATTAATAATTCTTTGTGTTCTTTTACCTTTTGTATTTAAATTCTGCATAGTTTTTATTTTGGTAAAAGTTCTGTCAATCAGCAGATATTATATATGTGTCGTGACATTGTACTTGTGTGTTGAAACATCAATCTTAACATTTATATTGTGTATGCCATGATACCTTAGACTAATATAATATCCACTTTCAAATTTTGAAATTAATTAGCTTTCCTACAAAAATAAATAAAAAAACCGCAACCTTCCTTTGATCGTTGAGGTACATGAAACTTTGGGTCTCCGTTAAGGAATCTGCGGTTTTATCGTACTATTGTTTTGATTACAGAAAGAAAACTTTTGAGTACTCCGTTCTTTATGTAATATATTGATGCATGTTTAGATAAAGTGTTAAGAGAAATCAAAGGGAAATATATGCATAACAAAGTGCCAACGAAAAAGCGTCATATGCATGCATCATCCATGCACGTGGCTCTCTATAACTCCATACTTTCCACTGCATGCAAACCATGCGTCTGACCGAATAAAAGAAAGTTTACACTGACCTTATTTAACCCTTTCCACGTTGTTTTTCCACTCATTTCAATTTTTCTAACTCACTCAGCTAAGGAACCTTAAAATCTTAACCATCCATATTACTTCCCTTTATATATTCTTATACTTTGCTTATTATTTGTGTATCTTTGCAATGGCAACAGCAGCATTTTCTTCACTTCTACAGCCAGAGAAACAACAAGTGAGTTCAGGAGAAGCTATTTCATCTCCAAGCAGCTCTAGTGCTTGGGAATCATCAGGATCTATTGGTCCATTTTTCGCTGTGATCATTATTCTTACGATTCTTGCTGTGCTCTCTTGTTACTTGAGTCGCATGTGTAAGCGGAGGGAACTTACTCCGTTGGAGAGTATCAAAGGTAGAGGCTGTTTTGGATGGGTGAAACGTCGGTGTAGAAATTGTATGGGTAGAGATCTTGAAGTTGGAGGTGTTGGAGCTAAGGTTATGGTTTGTGATCAAGAAGAGGAAATTGATTCTAAGGTTAAAGATGGTGATGTTCAAATTTAATTGATGTCATATACATATATTGTTATTATAAATAATATTAAATTTTAAAATTGTTGATGAAGTCAGTCATAATTTTCTATATATCAAGGTTAGTTATTTTTATATTAAAGAAAAAAGTAAAAGTAAAAAAGAAGACTCCTCTAAATAAATGGCATCCCTGCAGTATCTAATAAGAGCATGAATATCGCCTGAGTTTGTAACGTTCATCGTATAGTTATACTTACACTTATTCTTATACCTAGTTATATCGTATAGTTATATCGTATGTCCTGTTTATCGTATTTATATCGTGAGTGACAATATTTTTTTTAAATGAAAAATATATTTATAAATAGTACATGGAATAATAACGGAAACAATACATGAATAATGCATGTGAACAGTATCCATAAACAATACATAAATAATGAATTTTAATATTAAAATAAAATTGATTATTATTATATAAAAAATTGATTAAAGAAATGATGAAATTGGTTAATAAATCCTTAAATATTATAATAGTTAATTACTCGTTGACTGCTATTCTATTGAGGATTGTCCATCTCAAGTTCAACAAATTTTTGATGGTGATGTAAAGAGGCTTGTAACTCCTAAATTTATTGTCGTGTAGATTTTTTCTTTTTGAACTGAGGCTCCCTCTTATTAAAAAGACAATGTCAGTGAATGAAAAATAAAAAAGTTGATTAATGAAGTGATGAAGTTGATTACTAAACGTTCAGATATAAAAATAAATTTGAGTAGTAAAACAAAGTTGATTAATAAAATATAAAAAATTGGTTAATGAAGTGATGAAGTTGATTAATAAATGCTTAGATATCAAAAATATTTTTTAGTAGTAAAATAAAGTTGGTTTGATAAAATATAAAATGTTAGTTAATGAAGTTAATTAATCACAATTTTATATGGGTATCTCTTAATTTAATTTTTTTTATAAATATTTTTTAAAAAAATATTATTTTATTATTATAATAATTCATGCTTTACTCTATTAATTAGTGTATGAATGTGGTGTGAGAATATCACTTTTCTTTTATATATTTATATAAGTGATAATGGATATGAAAGTGGAGTATAGTGTAACATTTGTTCGGACCCATTTTAAAGTTTTTGTGAGTTGTATAAATATTTAAAAAGATATAGTTAAATTATTTAAATAATATGAAAATATAATAATATAATGTAAAAAAATGAATAAGACCCATTTAAAGAACTCAAATAAATATGATGAATGTGGATGGTCTAAACAGTTACAAAATACAAAACAAACATCTTATAAATCTCTTTTGATTAGTATCTAATTTGGTAAAGATGTTTTTGCACACAAGTTTTTTTCTGAGAATAATCTCCAAGAGGTTAGCATAATAATGAAATTTCAGTGTATTCTTCATTACTAACTAGACAACAAAGAGAAATTCAGAAAAATATATGATTTTTTTAAGCATGCCCAACAGAGAAAAATTCCTATTAACAAAGCTTGAATTTCTACTTGCAAAATATTTGACAAGTACACATTAGCATAATAACCAAACTGGGACCAATCATTAGAGGTGCGTACAAGGGCACCATAACCTGCTTGTCTCAAGTTCGTTTATCACCAAGATCTTGAACCCGAGTATCATTGACACCATGTTGCTACAACACTTTTATTGGAAGCTACAGAGAGGGAGAGAATTTTGAATTACCAAACACTCATTTTGATATGTGATACTGCTAAAAACTGAAGCAATCTATACGTTGTACACCTCAGTTTTCATATAATTAAAGGAGGTTTGTTACCTACTTCGGTAACTACATTTTGTATGTAATGTAAAAAGTTCACATTATCAACTTAAAAAAAGTAAGGATATCTTGAAAACAAAACTCGTACCAAAAATAGACATAACTTGTAAACAAAGTACTAAACAATGGATAATAGTTTTGTTATTTCGAACACAATGAGGAAGAGAAGGAGAAAAATTAACACTTAGAAGTTGCAGGACATACTAAGTTGGAAAAAAGTTATCGCTGGAAGAAAAATCCTAAGTTGGTAGCAGCAAAACCCTTCACAGCGCACAAAAAAATTCCCTGCAACGCATGAACATCTGATGGATAAAGATCCATAGAAAAAAGGTCATCACAACTTTTATCAAATGACATTGCGCGAGTAAAACCCCTCGCAATGTTGCTAGGGGTAAAACCTCTCACAAAGTCTTATTAATGACATTCCTCTTAACAAATGTGCTGAACTGATGTGATATTTTTTGTGAGGGGCAAAACTTCTAACAATACATTAATAATTTTAAAAATTGCAAGGGGGTAAAACCCTAGCAATGTGCTTATTTTTTAATAAAAATTTATTTATTATAAATATTAAAATAAAATATATTCATATATTTTTTAATATTTATAATAAATAAATTTTAGGCATTTATAATTTTTATAATTTGTAAAAATAAATATAAAATATAATTTATAATAATTCAAAAAATATATTTCAAAATTAAAATTTAAATAAAAATAAATATTTTATAATTAAAATTCAAATAAAAATAAATATTTCAAAGTTATGATATTTCTAAGGTAAATCACTTTTTCAATATTTTCTCAACTTTTCTCTCTTTTCATTCTTCCAGGGGGTGGTTTTATGGCTTTTTTTTTGTTGCTTGAAATCATTTTTCGTCAGTTTTTTCTCTCTTGTTATTTAAATAAGTGGTTATCCACATAGATTTTTTTTGTGTGTTTTTAAGTTTTTATCGTCTTTTGTGGCGTTTGTTGGCTTTTCTGTCTTAGTATATGGTGTTCGTTGGTTCAGATTGACACATATTCACTTCAATTCATTTAAATTCGATGAAGACTTGGACGTCAATGTTGCAAATCTGGAAGTATGAATATTCTGGTTACTTTTATTTTGTCATATTTGTAGGCACTTTCATGTTGCCGTTGTATGCTATTAACCTAGGTGCTACAAGATTGTTTGTAGATTCACCTTTTTTTCTTTCAGTTTTAGCAATCTTGAATTTATAATGATCTATGTATTTTTCAATTTGAATGAATGGATTTCTTTTTTAGTCAAAAAAGTTATCATATTAAACAATTATCAGAGAATCAATTATCCAAGTTATGTAACTCGCTCTCCTCTTCTGTTCCATGCCCGCTAACTTCTCCTTGTCCATCAACTCTAAAAGATTTTACTCTTTTAAATCCACCAACTCCCCCATATCCTCTAAAACCTTCATACCCACCAAGCGCTCCAGATGTTTGGTTCATCTATGAGAAAAAACTCTTGAAACTTCTATGAAAGCTCTCATTCAACTTTTAATGCTTCCTCCATCATTATTTATCTTTTCTTTATTTCATCCACTAAAGTGTTTTGTGATGACTCGCTCACTGCTAATTTCTCACCATTTCTTCCATTTCAGAGGTAAGTATTGGGGAACTTGATGATCTTTCTTGATCAATCTTTAATTCTCATGTTCAGACTTATATTCTCTTTCTCGATGTTAGGAGCCAAACTCCCAACACCATACATTTTCCCTTTTTCCCCACCAATTACTCTATCCCTTCTGCAGGTTTAATAAGGAAGTGATTAAAGCTAAGTAAGACATGCATATTGTCAACATCATGGTTTTGAAGATGACATCTCATGAAGATGTAACATGACCTTGATGATAACTCATGAAGATGCAATATGACTTTGATGACAACAACACATAAAGATAAATAAGTGCTAAAAATATTTCAAGCGGTCAAATATGCACAAGATAGTTGATCAAACTCTTCCTTGTAGTTGATCAAACTCTTACTTTAAGTAAAGCAGAAGAGTTATGGTTTAATGATCGTCGTTATACCCGTTGTACCCTAATTTTTGACCTAAGATTCCACCTTCTTTTGCATCATTTGCATAATATTAAAAGATAATATCATTCATATTTTCATCCACTAACCATATATGATTGCAAATATATGCTTCTTTGTTGCTTGTGCAAGGTAGGTTACAATATCCAATAATCAATTTTGTATACATAGTTTAGAAATAGATTTTTTAGGTTTTTATCATCTCTTTCCCTCTTGGAGGAGCTCTGATCCAATTCTTTGTAGCTTAGAGATTCAAGCAACACCATTGGGTGGTTCATCATGTCTATTGGCTATGGGTGGTCTCGGATCGTGTTGACATCGCGAGAAGTTTCATATTCATCTCCTTCTTCCCTATGTATCATTCCTATGTTGGGTGTTGTATGTATATCTTCACTCTTATTGTATGTACATTTGTTGATCATGGGATTGTATGAAATCTCTTTTACAAATTAATACCAATGTTTATTATTGATTTTTGCTTAATTGTAGATTTTTGGTTTGTCGTAGACATATGCTTTCCGAATCTCTTTCTTGAATGAATATATATTAGGTCCTAGACTCTAGACATAGATTTAGGCTTAATATTCATGTGGGTATTGATTATGAAATGCATCCGGGTTATTTGAGTCGGTTGAGAGATTGTCGGCGAGAGCAATACAAGTGATGTATCACTTTATGTTAGAGATAGCCTTAGTGTGAGTGGTACGTGATGGTATTGACAAGTGATTTAGGTTGCGTGCAATTGATCAACAAGTTTAAGTATTTGACGGGTAGAGTGAAATGTGATTCCATAATAAATTCTCTTAGGATGTAAATGATTGTTTATCTCTTTCTTTAATGCTTTATTTACTTTTCCTGCATTTTTCTGCAAACCCCTTTTCCAAATTTAGAAGGATTGAAACTGTTAAACAGTAGTTTTTCCCTCTGAAATATCGTCGATGCAAGTGAGCGCGATTGAATTTTGTGTTGTTAAGGTTGGTTGAGAGATCACCGTCGAGGTGATACAGTGGTGTTGTGTTTGACATGTGATGACATTGATGAACATTGTAGGTTGAGTATGACAGATCGATAGGTTTAAGTATGTGAGAAGTAGTATAGATGCATTCTTGATAAGTTATTCCTTATTCCTTTTTCCTTTTTATAGACTTATTTTATGTTGATAC